CCTGGGCTGGAACCTGGAGTAGAGGGCGGAAGAGTAGAGTAGTGAAACCCGCCACTACAGAAACACGTCCTGGGAGGGGAAGACAGGCACCTGTCAGGACAGGAGGCTAAACTGTTCTTGAATAAGACTATAGGGACAACAGAGTCCGTGGGAGTTCTCTCACCAACCTCCTTGCTGGCTTATGATGAAAAGGGCTCAGTAGACTGTAACCCTGGCCCTAGAGAGAGAAGGGCTACATGGAGGATCGCAGTGAGCATAAACCGCCTTGAAGCGCGGGACCCACAGGGACAAGGTCGGAGCTCTGCCACAATATATATAATAAAACAGTGAAGTAAATAAACTCAGCTAGATTTAAACTACTTACTTGTTTAGAAAGCTAAAAGTCTAGGTGAACAATTTGAGGTCTTGCATCTGAGGTGTCCTAACATTGACCTTTCTGACAACTGTTGTGCTAACAGGTTTGCTCTCCGCTGGTTGGGGCTGACAAATAATTATGGTTCACTGAAAGAATACTATGTTTCTGCACAGTACCTGGACTTCTGGGTGCTCAGTGGGAAGTTACAAAAAACATGGTTCTACTCAATAGCACTGATAGCTTTCCTCTTGATTATAATCACTTAAAATAGATAAAAACAAAAGCATGCTGTGTAGTGTAAAATCTAAAACCTACACTATGTGCTGGAGTAGATCTATATTTAAGACAGGGTTATTTTTTTTTCTCTATTAAATGTTACCCATTCACCCTCTGCTGGAAATTTGCATTCTTTTAAAGTCTAAGATGGAATTATCTGAGAGCTTTCCAGCCACTTAGAGAGAAGTTGAAAAAATTAAACACGCAAACAAAAATTGGTTAAGCAAAGATTTCAGTGCCAAATCTCTCAACTCAGCACCAAAATACTTTCCATCTTTGATACTTATATAGCTCCAATCACCATAGTACCTGAGACCTCACTATCTTTAATAGTGTTTAACCCCAGAACAGCCCCGAGAGATAGGGAAGTAAGATTATCCATATTTTACAGATGAGGAACTGAAGCACAGGAAGGTTAAACAACTTTCCTAAGGTCACACAGGATGTTTGTGGCAGAACAGGGACTTAAACCCAGATCTCCCAAGTCCTAGGCTAGTGCCCTAATCCTTGGTCCATTCTTAAATACTTCTGCTGCTTTCCCAACCCATCATGAAATCCTCTTGGTATTTCCTAGTTCACAAAATATTTCAGAATAAGACAAAAATGATAACCTCACAAGCCATTACATTATACAACTTGTGGTAGCTGGGATGCAAATGAATGTTATTTCAGTCTAATGAGTGGTGATATTTGTCATATTACATATGGGTTAAACTCTACTCTCATTTTTGCTTTGCAGTTACCTTTTCATGCATAACTTAATTTATAAATTATTTTCTATTGAAGTATAACTCGGACATTTATGATAAACTTATTTTTGAATTATTTTTTTAAAAGTAAATATATCCATTTTGCTGACGAAAACAAAAATTTTTTTTGACTACTCCAAAACTAAAATATCAGAGAGATTTTAATTTCATGCATTCTAAATATTATTTTGCATTTATATACAATCGTTATGTCAGATTTCAATATGTTTTTCAAAAAAATTGATGTGTACCACATGAGGAGTCACTTCAAACCCCGCTGCAATGCAGCCACCTCTAGTATGAAGTGTTGCAATGACGAAACAGTATACAGCAATACCACATAACTGTTTAGGAGCAAAATGAAGGAGGATACCATATTTATTTTAAATTGCAGGGACCATATAGGTAGACAAAATGTAATTATACAGCATTTGGGTTTTTACAACATTGATTTTAATTAACTTACATGACAGAGCCATGTCCTGAAAGCACACTCTGCCATTAGAATGCTGGCACATTCCAAATGGCCACTCAGAGAGAAAAAGTGGGTGAGGTACTTTCTTTTACTGGAACAACTTCTGTTGGTGAAAGAAAAGCTTTCAAGCTTAGAGAGCTCTTTTTCATGTCAAACAGAGGCATGGATTCACTGTTCCTGATGAGCTGTGCTCCGCACAGGAAGGAGGCTAAGTCTTTACCATTATTTGTATTATGATAGCGCCTAGGAACCCCAATCAAGAATCAAGCCCCCATTGCACCTATGGTAAGCCAGCTTTCCTCTTCCCCTGTGATGGGAACTGCTTGGGCCCGGCATCCAGTCTAAGAAAGCAGCCTCAAGGCTGCTGCTGCAACTCACAGTTGGCTGTGTATGATCCCAAAGAGCTTTTTGAGAAAGCTGTAGTGCAGTCACCCTCCAAGCACTTTCTGCCCTTCGCCCACGCATGATGTGTCAGAGGATGATGGCAAAAAGCCATTATATCAGCTCTTTGTTGCAAGGGGGATCCGTATATTCCCTGGCAGCCATATCCACTGCCTTCACATTGCTGGAGAATCTAGCCCAGAACACTGCATGCATGTCAGCATCCCCCAAAGGATTCACACCCTGCAAAATATCATCTAAATGCATTAAACACAGCCCTGGATTCTAGATGATAGTACAGGAAAGTTCTGCCCAGAGCCATTGCAGGCATAGTGAAAGCAAGCAGCACAAAATGTCATTTGGATGTGTGGAGAGGGAAAGAAAGGAACAGGCAACTAAAGAAAACAGCAAGCTGAGATGGGGCAGAAGGTGAACAGAATTAGCCAATAGTGAGGCACATCATAGACTACATTATAATTTTGAGCTACGGTATTCTGCCATATTCTACAATTCAATTATCATAGGCATCAAAGACTGAGACATGGGTAGCTCTGCTCCTCCCCTGACTCTTCGGCTCTGTTTAAGAGCCGAGCACTACGGGCTTTGGGCAGCCCCCATACCTCCGGACCCTGCGCCACCGGAGCCCGGGAGGGGAAGTGCCCGGCCGGGGGCGCAGGGTCCGGAGGCATAGGGGCTGCCCGAAGCCCGAGCGCTACAGGCTTCACAGTTTGCCGGGCAGCCTCCAGACCCTGCGCCCCCGGCTGAGCGCTTCCCCTCCCGGGCTCCAGCTGCGCTGGGGAAGCACCGGCCGGGGGCGCAGGGTCTGGGGGCTGCCCGGCAAACTGTGAAGCCGGTAGCACTCGGGCAGCCCTTTTCGCCTGGCTGGGAGTGGGAGGGGGCGGAGTTAGGGCGGGGAAGGGGTGGAGATGGGGGCGGGGCTGGGGGTGGGGAATGGGCGGGGCCAGGGCCCCGTGGAGGGTCCTCTTTTTTTATTTGTTAAATATGGTAACCCTAATACAGAGTATGTTGAAAACATTGCAAATATACTAACTAGGTTGTAAGGTTGAGGCAGAGACTGTCATTGTTTTGCATTTGTACAGAGCCTAGCACAATGGGATCTTAGATCATGATTGGGGGTGCTAGGTGTCACAGTAATACAAATAAATAATTATAATATTTATATAACTGGAAGGATTTTACTACTCATTAGTAAACAGCAGCCACAATCAATCTGCTTTTAAGTACTCCATCATGCTTTGAACATACTGGTATGTATAAGTGGTATTCAGGAGGAAAAATGAATAGTTTTGCTTAGAGATGGGCACAGTACAGGGAGAAAACGGTGTTTGCTTTCTCATCCAAGTTTGCTAAAAAGTAGCACAAATGGATCACTCCCACACCATGTGCTGAAGCTGGCAGTGGAGAAATTTGTAGGCAACAGGAAACCTGGGAGCTAGAACCAAATTGGTGCTCCAGAACACCAACCAGCTGTGGAGCATGCCTTCAGAAGTCTTAAAGGACCAACATTCCAATGCGGAAACTACAGAACCTGAACTACCAAAAAAGGAAATCAACCTTCTGCTGGTGGCATCTGACTCAGATGATGAAAATGAACATGCATCGGTCCGCACTGCCTTGGATTGTTATTGAGCAGAACCCGTCATCAGCATGGATGCATGTCATCTGGAATGATGGTTGAAGCATGAAGGGACATATGAATCCTTAGCACACCTGGCATGTAAATATGTTGCAATGCCGGCTACAACAGTACCATGAGAACACCTGTTCTCACTTTCAGGTGACATTGTGAACAAGAAGCAGGCAGCATTATCTCCTGCAAATGTAAACAAACTTGTTTGTGTGAGCAATTGGCTGAACAAGAAATAGGACTGAGTGGACTTGTAGGCTCTAACGTTTTACATTGTTTTATTTTTGAATGCAGGTTTTTTTTGTACATAATTCTACATTTGTAAGTTCAACTTTCAGGATAAAGAGATTTCACTACAGTACTTGTATTAGGTGAATTGAAAAATACTCGTTTTTTACAGTGCAAAAATTTGTAATAAAAATATAAAGTGAGCTCTGTACACTTTCTATTCTGTGTTATAATTGAAATCAATATATTTGAAAATGTAGAAAACATCCAAATGGTATATTACTGTTTAACAGTGTGATTTATCACAATTAGTTTTTAAATTGCTTGATAGCTCTATAATAGATATACAAAAGATAGTTACTGCCTGATGTGCTTTAAAATGTTGGGAGAAGCTGTGTTTTTTTGTGTAAGAGTTGTTAGATAATAATTAGCACACCAAAAACATGGGATGTATAACTTCTTTCAGAACTGCTTTTAGAAAAAACAGTTTCAAAATGTTATTTTAAAAGGGCATATAAATTAAAGCACTTCTGCTTCCTTTGGCTGAAGAAACACCTGTATGAGTTTGAGGAAAGCCGCGGACCATAATTTTTAATATTTCATTTCCTAAGTGCATTTTTATACTGTTAGTTATATTGAATAACTCAAGAAGAGAAATAGGCAAGATGTCAATGGAAATAATTTAATGAGGAAGTTCAAAATGCAGGAGTAAGGTATCAGATTGGATCAAGCCAGTGTTCTCTTTGAGAGCAACCATATAGATTTTCAGAACAAGATAAGCACATTTTAGACACAGAATAAGGAATTTTATAGGAAATGCTGGCCCTTCAAAAATAATTTGTCCAACCATATACAATGCAGCATGACCAAAGAATAAAAGCCAGCAAAATCTTTTCAATTTCTTTATTGTAGGAAAACAAAGGCTTACACTTGACCTCAAAGGCAGCATTATTTCATTAATTCAATAAGTTAGTACATTAAGTTATCTTCAGAAACCTTTAGAGAATGCATCCATTCAAGATAAAATAGCAAACCCTCTCCCCCTCTCAGTTTACTAAGTTCTTTACATGATCAAACGAAAATCCTTTCATTTTACACCACAAGCCTGTCTTTACCCATGTTTCAAGCTAAAAAGGGAATTTTAAATAGAAGAAGATTGTGTGTGGCTTTCCACATCCTAGGCGGACACAGCTGGGAGCACAGCCTGATGAAAATAGCAGTGCATTTAAAGCTTGGATTTCTGTAGGTTAGTACACATCTGGTTATCCTGACAATTCATAAAGTGACTGACAGACACATGCCCTTCTATTAACTCTAACTGATCAAACCACCAGAAATTTGGCAGTTTGTTACTTCCATACCAGTGAGTCCTATCCTTCATGGTGCACGTAGGTATCATCCCCAGGTTCCATCTCTCACTAGACCATTTCTCAACAAAGTGTTTGGCTACTATTGTAGCAACAGAAACTATTGATAAAAGACGACTATGGAAAATTAAATCATATGGGGGTGGTGGTTAAAACTGAATTCTATGTAACAGCATTCTGGGGGAAGGGAGGGAGATTTTAAAAAATTCTAGATTTTTCTAAACACAACACAATGACCAGTGAAGTCCCAAAAAAGCCACTTTAATTTTTGACCTTGTACAAAATTATACATTCAGGCTCAAATAACTAACTGAAAAGACTGATATCTTAACTGAAACCTCCACAGCGGAATAAAAAGGCAGAATCACAAATAATGGATAAAGCAGCAAGATATTCCTCATTGCTCAGACTCATTCTGATTATTTAGCACTGAGTTGTGCCGGCATTGAAAGTTACTGGAAGCTCAAGTGGCCTGCTATTAAGTGGAGTGTTTTGTAACATAACAAAACTGCACCTGCACTATGTTTAAAGAAGTTTTGAAACAAAATATAAAGTAACTACAAGCATCTCACTCTTCAAATATAAGACAACTAAGACTAAAAGGTCTGGAAAGTCTTCCACAGCTTAAAAAAAAAGTGTTTAGAAAGATAACTCAATTTTCTATTTACAACCAAACTACCCAAATTTAAAATATATTTATTCTATTATAAATAGAAAGAGGAAATTCACCTGGGGCAGGCCAAAAAAGCCATACTACACACCTGCAATTTTTATATTTGATAAGTAAAAGTACTCCTGTTTCTCTGTTCTACAGGAAGATATTCATTTCAAGCACGGACAGTAGGAGAATCTCTTTCCTAAAGAAAATGAAAATGCAGGATTCTAAATTTGTCAATTAGCACAGCTCAACGAAAACCAATGAGCTTTCTGAAAATAAGTTATTAATCTCCATGATGTACTCATCTTCCACTGCAAAGTCTCTCAAGTCAGGCATTTAGTTTGTTGTGTTCTGCACTGCAGCTTATGTACAAAGCCAGGTGTTACTAAACTATTTTAAAAGAAGAACCAACTTTCTTTTACAACAGAGAAAAGAATGCAGCAGTTGCTATCCCAAATTCAATTTACCTGCAGACTAATTCCAACACAAAATCTTCTATTTAAGATTATCCATATTTATATTTAGAAATATTTCTCTTAATTCAGTGTTATAGCATATAATATATTAAGTGATTAAATTGCCTTATATAGAAAACATTACTATACGTATTATATTATAATATGTCCTTTAAAAACATCAAAGCTAGAAAAGCTCATGGCTCACTATCCAACTGAATCTTATATAGTTTCAGTACTGAGAGAAAGAGCAGCATAAGTTTGGTTGCTATGGTAATCTCCATGGCATCAATGCCAACCAAAAAAACCAAAGGTTGTTCTGTGGCTTATCCCTTGAGATCTCAACTCTGGAGAAAATTTAGTCCCATTCGGTGTCATGGGGTTGTATTAAAAATGACTTTCATGGTTAAATAGCTCACAAAAATGCATTCCACTGACAAATATCCCTCTATCAGTGCTAACAATGGCTCCATTAACTTTCCTTCCACAGTCTACAACTTGTAGTCAAATGCTATTTCAAATGTAAGTATCAACACCAATCCGTGTTCAAAAATGTGTGTTTAAATAAAAATGTTTTTCTCTTTAAAAATAAGTCACAATCTACACTTAAGGCCTGGTCTACACTGCCAAGTTTTTTCACCAAAAGGCAGCTTTTGGCAACAAAACAGCAGAGGCGTACATACTGTAAAGCCACTTCTTGCCCCGAAACTCCTCAGTTGCAACGCTGTTATAAAACCACCCCAATGAGAGTTTTAGGCCTTTTTGCGCCGAGACTTTAGCCCGTTCGTGCCAGTGTAGACACTGTGCTTGATTTTAGCGCTGTTACTGGCCTCCGGACGGTGTCCCACAATGCTCATCCTGACCACTCTGGTCGGCAGTTTCAACTCTGCTGCCCTGATGCCAGGTAAACAACATTCTGCCCCTCCCCCTTTAAAGCCCAGGGGATTTTGAAATTCCCCTTCCTGTTTGCTCGGCATGCAGAGCTCACATTGCATTTTCCCAGCTGACCATGGTGGCCCCACACAGAAAACCATCTCCTGCCTGGGCCACTGCAAAGCTACTGGATCTGATAAGTGTTTCGGGGGAGGAGGAGGCTGTCCAGTCCCAGCTGGGCCCCATCTGTAGCAATTTCGATACCTATTGTCAGATTGCACACAGCTTGCATGAAAAGGGATATGACCAGGACACACTACAGGGCAGAGCAAAGGTGAAGGAGCGGAGGAACGCGTACCACAAGACAAGGGAGGCAAACTGTCGCTCCGTGCTGTGCTCCAGACCTGTTGTTTTTATAAGGTGTTGGACGTTATCCTAGGTGGCAAGCCCACCTCCACCACAAAAAACAACGTGGATACTTTGGCGGGTCTTGAGCCAGTGGGAAATGGACCTAACCCGGAGGAGGAGGTCATTGATGAAGTGGTGAAGGCTGAAGATATGGAGCCAAATGATACGTCCAGTCAGGAGTTGTCCTCCACTCCAGTTGCTCTCTGGTGAGCCAGAAGTGGGAGAGAAGACCCCTGGTAAGTGGTTTTGCTTTGTGAAGTTCTGAAGTGGGTTGAGAGCAGAAAAATGTAGAAAGCTGGCTTTGTTTCTGTGTGCCGGGCATTTCCCCGCACAGTTAGGCAGTACGGTGGAACAGGGAGTTGATGCATGCCAAGATTTCATGGGAAACCTCCAGAGAGATCTCTAGGAAACTTTCCTGGAGGTACTCAGCAATCCTCTGCCGGAGGTTCCTTGGCAGAGCTGCTTTGTTCCTTCTCCCATTGAGAGACACTTTCCCTCGCCACTCTGCAATTACTTGGACAGGAAGCGCCCAGGCAAGCAACACAGGGAACAGGGCGGAATCCGCAAGCATGTAGCAGATCCACCCTTGCTTCCCTGCTTCCCCTCAGGAGTGAGATATCCATAGTGACCACCACCTACGGAAAATGGTGGGAAAGTTTAGAGTGTTGCCCCTATAAGTGCCCCACGACATTTTCAGATTGCTTTTCTGCAATAAAAAAGGCCCCTGCTTACTGTTTCAATGCTTTGTGTGTAGTTGACAATAGTGCTTCTGTTTATTGTTAATTATGCCTATCCAGACTTGACCTTGAGAACCAGCCCCCCCTCCCCGCCCTCCCCCAACAGCAGCAGAGCATCTGCGCAAGATAAGGAAATGGCCGAGATGGACTAAGGAAGATATGTTCGAGGTGGTGCTGCAGCAGTCAGAGGCAGAAAACACTGAACGCAAGAAGTGGAGGGAAAGCGAAAAGCAGGAAAGACAAGAGAGGGATTCTTACAATAGGGATGCCACAGAGAGGCTGGAGTTCTGGACCGTCAAATGAACATGCTCCAGACTCTTGTAACACTGCAGACTGAGCAGATGCGTGGCCGCCTTCCCCTTTATCACATTCAGAACACTTTCTCACGCACTCCCCAAACTATCTCTACACATTCCTTTGCACTTTCCTCAACACGCCACCCTCGCACACAGCTTTTCAAATGAAAGCTGGACCTATACTCAGCTATGAAAATCAGCCCCCTTCCTCTCCCCCCCCTTGCCCAACAGCGTGCCTGTGTATGTGTGTCCATATGGTGTTGTGGTTTATTTGGCAATAAAGGCAAAGGTTTTTGAATTATGAGCACTCTTTATTTGTTTCCATGCAAGGTATGATACCTCATGGCACCTCCAAGTCAACAGGCACTTTTATTAGTTCCTTACTAACTACAGGGGATCGGTCCTGCTTTGAGCAGGGGGTTGGACTAGATGACCTCCTGAGGTCCCTTCCAACCCTGATATTCTATGATTCTTACATTGAATCCTAGGTCTTAATCACAACTGCTTGCTAGCATATGAAATTTAATTAATCATTGCAGTCCCAAGCATAGCAACAAAATTACTGGTTTTCATCTTCGAAGTGTTGCCTCAAGGCATCCCTGATTCTTGTTACACCCCATAACAGCCCTGGTATCCGGCTGCTCAAAATCAGCAGTCAGGCATTCTGCCTTGGCAGTTCACCCCTGAGTAAACCATTCGCCCTTCCCTTCACAAATATTATGCAGCGAACAACAAGCAGCAATAACCATGGGAATATTTTCCTCATACAGGTCTAACCTGCCATATAGGCATCGCCAGTGCGTCTTTAATCGGCCAAACACACATTCAACGGTCATTCTGCCCCTACTCAGCCTGTTGAACTGCTCCTCACTGCTATCTAGGTTTCCCGTGTATGGCTTCATAAGCCATGGCATTAAGGGGTACGCTGGGTTTTCCTGGATCATTAAGGGCATTCTGACTTCCCCTATGGTGATATTCTGGTCTGGAAAGTAAGTCCCTGCTTGCAGCTTTTTGTACAGGCCAGTGTTCTTAAATATACATGCGCCAGGCATCTTTTTGGATCACTCCACGTTAATGTCAGTGAAATGCCAACAGTGATCCACAAGTGCCTGAAAAAGCATGGAGAAGTATCCCTTCTGATTGATCGCAAAGTGGTCTGGTGCCAGAATTGGAATATGCGTGCCATCTATCTTCCCTCAACGGTTAGAGAAACCCATTTCTACAACACCATCCACAATTTCACACACACTGCCAAGAGTCACGGTCTTTCACAGCAGGATGCGATTAATGGCCTTGCACACTTGCATTAACACAGGAACAACAGTCGAGTTCCCCATTCCAAACTGGTTCCCGAGTCACCAGTTTCCACACTGCGATTGCCATGCGCTTCTCCACTGAGAGGGCAGCTCTCACTCGGGAGTCCTTGCACGGCAGGGCTGGGGCGAGCTCAGCCCACAGTTCCAGAGCATCCGAAAGTTCTGCAGCCACTGTGCATAATCTCAGATTTGCATAACGATGCGATCCCACCACTCTGTGCTAGTTGCCCGAGCCCAAAAGTGATGTTCCACTGTGTTCAGTTCCTCTGTGAATGTCAGAAACAATCTAATGTTGCTGCTTTGCATGTCGGACACTACGTCAGGCAATTGTGACTGCCACTGCCGTTATAACGCCACTGCCACTCGCGACGTGCTAATGAGAGCTAGCAGAGCAGTGGAGAGCAGTGCAGAATACATTCCTGCAGATAGATGTGGCGGGGAAAGCAGAAAACAAGGGACATTGAAAAATGCCGTGAACTGAAGACCGAATCACATGGAATGCTGAGACAGAAAGCAGTGTATCACGGGGCATTGAACCCTGACCCATATTGCGCCGCGATCCCCTCCGCCTTCCCACAAGACCTAGCGGCAGAAGGGGGAGAGCTGCACTGTGGGATAGCTACCAACACTGCACTGCTCTCACTGGCGATGCAAGTGCCGCAAGTGTGAGCATGCTATCCCGCCAGTGGAAAGCAAGGTGAACACACAACAGCGGTTTTCTTTAAGGTCTTGGTGAAAAAATTCTTCCAGCGTAGACATAGCCTAAGATTATTGTGAATCATAAACCATTCAAAAAAAGTTTTGAAAAGGTATTTGGGTTAAAGACTGTCATTACAGATCTGTATGAGAGGATTAGCTGTCTGAGGATGCTTATATTTATTCTTCCACCATCAAGCTTCACCCAGATTTTTCAGAATCTGTAGATAATTTACACTAGGAAAAAAATAGTAAGTTTTACTTGTAAAGCCCAATCAGGACTGACTTTCCCATGACAAAACTTCTTTATAATGCAGTCCCCAAACAATTTTTTCTTGTTTAAAATATTAGTTAGTAAGGAACTATTATAATAAATAACTCTCGCTTAGGTCTTGCATTTAACACAAGTTCTGTGGAAAGCTGCCAGTAATTGATTTTAGTACTGCCATATAACAAAGCATTTCTGTAATTAATAACAAATTATCTTTAACTTTAAAACATAAAAAAGGTATTTCTTTCAAAATAATGTGCAGAAGCTAATATAAAAGTGTCTTTATGGAAAGCCCAAGCCATCTTTAGCCATCATAATTTCAAAGGGTCTGTAAGATTTACCTATTTCATTCTAAGCTTTCCTGCAATTTTTCCACTTCTGGAAAAGATGATCATATAAAAAGATGATCCTGACATATGTCAGCCACAACATTACTAGATCATCATGTGTAGCAAGGCCTATAGCATATTTTACCTGATTGTTGCCTGTGAACAAACAGTTTAGGAGCATTAATCTTCAGAGACAACACTCAGAATAATAAAATGTTAATCAAAAATAATTAAGAAAGCGTTCAGGTCCCCACCCTCCCCCCGACCGTATTTGATAAGAAGATTTGAATACATGCAAGTCAAAACTAGCAAAATACAGACAAAAGGTCCTCTTCTGTGAAGATCATCATTAAATGACTGACTTCAATAAATAAGGCTATTTTGAAATTCTACAGAATCCTTTAAACTAGGCAACTTAGTCTTGTTTCTTATCAAATATATGTTTCTGTCCATGTTCTCCATCTGAAATTTCTGCAGATTTTTCTTTGTTTTCCTGCTCTTGTTCTTCCTCACTGCCTTCATCTGTAAGTTCCCTATCTCCAGTTTCTTTTTTAGATGTCTCATTTTCCTCTACACCTCCAAAGCTGTCAACTGTGCAGATTCCATAACACATGATGCTGATGACACCCAGTGGCAGACCAAAGAGAAAGCAGCCCAGAAGTGGAGAACTCTTGAATACAGACTGTTGAAATATAATTTGAAGTCAAAAGCACTTTAGGGGATATTTAAGATACCTTACAGCATTTCTTACAAGTTTCACTATATTTATTTCTAAAAACCCTAATAGATGAAATCAGTTTTCTTGGAAAAGGTGTAAGAGCCATTATGCCAATGCTGTTTTTAACTTGTGAAAATCTTTGAACCTGAAGAGAAACGGTTTCGCTGGGAAGCTGAAAAGTAGTATAAGAACTATGTATTTTGTAATTTGAAAAGAGGCATGAGAAATTGCTGAGTTAAATATTGAGACCTTAAAAACACACTGAAGTTTGAAATGTACCAGTAGTAGCACCTAATACTAAAGTTGCCTGACACTTCCCATTAAATGACCCTGTCTTTATTTACTTTGCCAAACTTTAATTGTTTGGGGCTGAAATTTTCAAAGCCAGGTGTATGCTGATTTTTATATATTACTTTTACACACACACACACACACACACAATCAGCCTGAGACAGACACTTGGCATTGAAAATATATACATTATATATAAAGAGATACAGATATATAAATTTTATCCAAAACAGTTCAGATATTTCTGAGAATGAAGCTAGGGAAAGTAACATTTTTATGTGTTAAAAGAATTCTGGCAATCTTTTCTTTGGAAAGCTCTAGTGCCCCAGGCTTTAGAGCAGGGACTAGATATTTGGCAAGAAGGTGGCCTTTGTGCAGAGATGGTCTTTTAACATAGCCAGGAAAATCTGTCCACATTTGGCCAAGTTGTAAGCCTACCTCAGTTAGTACAAGCTCAGTAGAGACTTGCTAGAGTTTACCAACTAAAATCTCAAAGATTCCATCCTCACTAAGCATGCTCGAGCATGCTCCCAGTTAGTTTTTTTCCCAACGTTGGAAGTTATGCAGTAAATGAAGCAGGGGAGAGGAAGAAAAAGGATGGTCTCATGGTTTAGGCCACTGAATGTTGCTTTTGAGAACTGGATTCTATCCCTGCCTCTGACACAGACTTCCTATTTTATGCTAGGCAAGTCATTTAAACCAACTTTTCATGGGTGGGCACTAATTGAGTGTTTCTAATTTTAGAGATATCGGACTTGAGATGTTTGGTATGATTTGAAGAAGTGCGGAGCACTCTCAGCTGCAACTGAACTTAGAGAAGGCTGTGTTTGGAACATATGAAGTGCTACATAATTTTAAATACTCTGGAAATCAGGTCCCAGGTGTCTTAAATCAGGCACTCTAAACTAGTGGATAGCTTTGACCTTAATCTCTCTGTGCCTCAGTCCCCCATCTGTAAAACGGTGAGAGGAGTTATTTAAGTTAAGAGCCAATATGGGCACAAGAACAAATGGATATAAAATGGCTATCAACAAGTTTAGGCTTGAAATTAGATGAAGGTTTCAAAACATCAGAGGAGTGAAGATCTGGAACAGCAATCAAAGAGCAGGGGAGGAAGCAAAAAACCTAACTGGCTTCAAGACTGAGCTTGATAAGTTTATAGACAGATTCGTATGATGAGACTGCCTACGATAACAAGTGACCCATCTCAGGCTGTTAGTAAATATGTCCAACTGCCAGAGATGGGACACTAAAGGAGGGCTCTGAATTATTACCATGAATTCTTTCACAGGTGTCTGGGTGGTGGATCTCGCTGACATGCTCAGGGTTTAACTGATCACCATATTTGGGGTCGGGAAGGAATCCTCCCCTCCCCGCACCCCCAGGTCAGATTGGCAGAGACCCTTTGGGGTTTTTGCTTTCCTCTGCAGCATGGGAAACAGGTCAATAGAGTAAATGGTGGATTCTCCGTAACTTGAAGTCTTTAAATAGTGATTTAAAGACATCAATAACTCAGCGGTTATGGTCTATTACAGCAGTGGGTGGCTGAGTCAGATGACGTGCAAGAAGTCAGACGATGATCATGATCTTCCCTTCTTATCTTAAAGTCTGAGAGTATCTCACAGGGGAGTTGGGAAGACAGAGTAATTAAAGTTTGTGAAACACGCAAAAACTGTAGTGATGAGCACCATATAAAAGCCTATGCAAAAATTAATAATTTGTCTTCAGAGCAGGGAGCAAATAATATGCAGTAAATATGGTTGGGGGGGAGGGGAAGGAAGGGGAGACATTGAACAGGAAAAAAACAAACAAAATACTGAATAGCTGCTAATTAAGTGAGCGCAGTCCATGCTGTGAACTGAATCAGGGTTCCTCTGGGGAAAAAAAATAGTTTGTGATTATGTAATTAAAGACAGTATCCTGAGGTGTACGCATAAGGGGGATAAATTAAAGTCTCTCAGAGGCAACTTTAATACTGATATTTCCTAACTTTTAAGTGCTTAACTTTGCAACCTTAATATGTTCTTTTAATGTAGTTTTTTGTGTTTAGTTTATTATAAGATTTTCTTGCTTGTCTGCAGTGGGGGGAAAATGGTTTTAGCCAAATTTTTCCACCAAGGTCTGTTAACCTTAATTGACCTATAAAAAGAAGGGAAACCTCTCCCAACATGCATACATTTACACAACAGATATTCAGTACCTCAACTGGACCTTTTCTAAGCAAAAAATAAGACTAGTAACCTAAAATACACCTTTAAAACGTTACTAAGTATAGTATTTTCTCCCATTATGCCTTAACTGAATGGACTGACAGTAACATTTTTCAGTGTAGGTAGGTTCCATAACTGTCAGTAAATGGGTTCCAGAAGTGTCAGAAACAAAGCTTTTGAACAGCTTTTGAATCCTCCAGTGCTATGCCTTTTAACTTGACCTTATTCATTTTAATTAACAAAAAGGAAACTGTCCATCATATTTCTGATACCAAATATTCAACATTTCAGTACTCTGTAAAATATATTTCAAAACATTTATAGAATTTTCTTTTATCGTTTGAGGGTATTTTTTTTTTAAATCCAGAATGTGTATAATTACTGGGAATATATTCAGTGACTTTTAAGTACAGGTATTTTTGACTCTCTTTTTTTAAAAGGCACACAAGTCTTTTTGAACTTGAAAATATGATGCTATTCTACTTTGTATTCCAACTGCATGTGAGGTTTTACTTACCATTACAGTAGACTTGGCATCATAAATTATTCTCTTGATTCGTTGCAGAAACCCATCACCACCTTGTGCCTAAAATTTCGAAGGAAACCGGTATCAAAATAATCAGTGCTGTTCAGTAAAATTTTATAATAAGTTCACATTTTATGTTTCATTTGCCTCCCTAATTTATGCAGCCTTTAGTCACTCCAAAAGGCTTTCGCAGTACCTGTTTTTCCTTGGGAAAAGAACAGATATTAGGGGTTGACATTCTTGTACCTCATGATGCTCAGTCATTTTTCAAGTTCTTCCAAAAGTAGATGTTTCAATAATCTCTTGAAAGACTGACATTCTCGCTTCACTCAAAGATCATTTTGCTTTAACTTAACAGGGTCAACTGCTGCAGCAGTACTGGTATTCTTCACCATCTCCTCTACCACATACTGATATTGATTACTTACCAGTTCAACTAACTTATCAATACAGAGCCACTCACTTTTCATTCCCCCTCTGGAAGATTGATCATCGTTCATGCTTATGGGCCATATGCATGCTTCTTCAAGGATTTAAACCTTGAGGATAACATTATAAGAAGTTGAGATGCCCAGACTTCACTCCCTGGTTCCTTCCACTAAATCAATTTGCAAAAGAAACTCTGAAGAAGTGGAAAGGAAGATAGAAAGCATGAATCTATGTGTAGCAGTCTAAGAAGTAACCTCTTCTTCCTCTGAGTATTTTCAGTGAATTTCACAAGAGTGGAAACTAACATTAACAACTATTGAACAAGTCGGGTCTGATGACAGCTATTTAAATAGAGATTGGCAGTCTGCTCTCCTGAACTCAGCATCTGATAGCCACCAAGATAGGGCCTGTAATTAGAGCTGGTCAGAAATTTTCTGTTGGAATGATTTTCTGATGGAAAATACAGTTTCCACAAAATTGAAATTTTCCATGGGAGTGGAGTCTAAGAATTACATATTTCGAATTAGAAAACATTAAACTACAATTCTAAGTAAACATGACACAGGAAAGTAAGGATGATCTAGAGAGAAGTAGTGGCCACAGCTTATTAAATAAACATACGCCTAAAGTTCAGATCTGGGAGAGAATATATGTAAATCCAACAGTAACTGCTTTTTCAGGGGTATACAAAGCAGTGCCAAGGACACATGCACAATTTAGGAATGTGGATATATAATGAGAATACACTAAGGAGAACCAAACAGCTAATGCACACTTATCTGCATTACAATTAAAAGTGGCCAAATGAATTTTTCTGCTTTTAACTGTACAGGGAATAAAAGCTAACAGTTGATTAAAAAAAAACAGATAAAATGGGAGACTTACTTCGACTGTACCATCTAAGATGTTATTAATGAACTGAACCAGGTCTTCGGTACTCTCAATGCGTCTATCTGGTAGAAAATACTGTTGGTTGGAAGTGTTCAATACGACAACAGTGGGGATTGTCAAGTCACTGAAAATGTTAAGTCAAACAGATAAACTCAAAGAAACAATATAAACTAAGTATTTTCAGAGCATTTAACAGGAAGTGCAATATTAAATGTTCTGCTAAAGAACTATACAGACAAAAGGAAAGTAAATTTTATGTGCCCATCTTGAGATATCCACCTCAAGTCATTCAGACAAAACCACCACTATCTTTATGGTACAGGTGAAAGAGTTGTTTCACTGACCCAATTTAAAAATAATGTACTCCTTAGCATCAATATTTTGATGAGGCTATTGAAGTCTATGCTATTCTATATGTGTTCTTATACTGCATGCATGACCTGACTCCATGAATGCCGTACTGGAAAAAATCAGATTTTTGAACCAAATACATACAATATAAACAAAAAGGGGAAAAGCTTACTTTTAATTCCACAGATCTGATGTGTGTTTCAATACTTGTATACCTCATGAGTTTAGGACATTCTTGTGTTAAGCAGTTAAGCAGTAGCTATTCTGCAAAATGCTATAGCAGACATAACCAATTAGTTGAGCTCTGATATAGTAGACAGCCTTGTGTTTCAAAAGCATATGGCCCCAATTCAAAAAAGCACTTAACTATATGCATGACTAAGTGTTCTTTAACTGGGAGCACAGGAGAGTAGGAGCTCTGTTAAACTTCTTAAAAGTCACATATCAACAATGTAATTATATTTATCCTAGACACAAGAGGTGAGCTACAGATGCCTGTTAAAGGCTTCAAACTATTCATGTTACTTTGTCATTATGATTTAACAAATACACAGAACCTTTAATTAGAGACATTTATTGTTACACCAAAACACACCTCAACTCAAAACTTGAAAAGCAAAAAAATAGTAAGTTAAGGAAAAAGTCTCCTACTTCCTTGCCTCTTTTACATTGACTATAAACACTGTCAATAACACTCATGTTATAAGGCTTTCACTCCAATCTCCAAAAGACTCTGAAAAGCAATACATATTCCGATTTCATCAAACTCATACTGTAGCACAAAATCTTAACGGCAACCTCAGATGCTCCTTGTATCAACAGGTTGGCATAGCTGACACATTCCACACATTTGGGGCATATTCTACTTTAACATTGATGAGGTCAACCTTCACTATGGAGTTGTAATTAGTGATTCTACAATAAGACTAAAAAATTTGTTAAAAGAGCAAATGCTAATTCAATACTTTCCTTTAAAAAACTAGGAAGGAAGCAATTATAAATTCTCTCCAATACAAAGAGATTCCCTGAATATTATAAATTTACATTTTGACATATGAGTGTTTTGGGCATGACAGTAGAAGAATTATAAAATTTTGGAGGTTAATCAAAAATGTTAACTAGAAGTTTAAAAGTTCAACCCTAAAACAGTGGAATTTTCTGGACGGCCAGCAAACTGAATTCCACAGAAGGCATATGGTGTGTGTCCATGCTCTTCCAACTTTCAAGTGTAAAGCATGGTGATATGCTAAAAAGCTAAAACCTGTTACAAAAATGCCAATGAAGACGACATATATAGCAGGAATTTGAAGTATTTCAACTCTTGGAGAGCTCTCCTGCTTGCAGCATGTGATAATTTCTAAATATGGCTTTCCCCAGAGATTCCTTTTCTCCCCTGGGTACTCTTTTTGTTTGTTAAGTGCATCAAGAGGTGTACGCAACAGGAGCCCAGCAACAAAATATAATGTAGTTAGTTGTGTAGAGTGCCAAGTTGCAAATTATCCCCACACAAAGGATTGTGAAGAAAAAAACAAAAACAGAATAAAAAAAAAAGAAAGTCCGCTTTCTACCCACACAACAGTGACAACTCTTGCTACTGTTACACTGAAGCTTAAAATTGTACTTTAGACTAGGAACATCTAATTTTCCATTTAACTGATTTATTTATTTATTTTACCGGCACTCCTTTTTATACTGTCTTTTGAAAAAAAATCTACAAAAGTCTGTCCCCGTCAGGAAAAAAAACTGGAGGAAAGACCTAATATACCCACCACTCCCCCACCTCTTTTTTGGGGGGGGTAAGGGGGGGGGGAATAATTTTTTAAGAGTTATCTATTGCTCCCCTACTCCATCAGGTTTTTAAGGCCTCCCAACAAACCCTTTCCAATTTTTCCTTGTTTTAGTACTTCTCTATTCCAAAACCTGATGTGTCAAACAACATGTAGGCAGAAGAACTGGATTACACTCCCTTTAAATCATGACGTTGTGGTTAGCCAGCCAGGGTGTGGGGAAGCAATTAACATTAAGCAATTTAAGTGTAGTACTACAGGACTGATTGAGATACCTGTACAGCATATAAGCCATCCAGGGACTAAAAATATCTTGTCCAAAAAAACTCAATTGTATGTACTGCAGTAAAAAGCCATCTTTTAAATATAAAAATATACAAATATATAAATAACCAGACAGGCTCTCATTTTGCCAAAAGGGTACTCTAAAAGATGTTTTGACTTTCAGTGTTGTTGAGCACTTAGAGCGCCCACTGAAGTCAATGGAAACTCTCAGAGGTGTTGAACACCCACAATCAGCACACTAAGTAGTATTCTCCCTACTCAAAAAAAAAAAAAAAAAAAAAAATGATATCGTCCCAAGTTGGTAACATTCTGACAAAAATCAATCAACCATCTTTTAAAGGAGACAGACTGCTAACCAGTATAACTCCCTAACGATCATAGTACAATTCAAGTTGATACACCTAATCCTAACATAAAGCATAAAAATACTATAACAATCTCCCACCCCTGGAAAAAAAGTGATTTTTCAAGCATTATACAAATATGCTATCCTTTATGAAGAGTGTAAAGATGTTTCTAAATGTTTCCACAGTAGTATAAAACAGCAGGTTACGTGGACCAGAAAGTAGTATCTTACAGTTTTACATTGTTCTACTGACTTTCAGTTGCTGCCATCTGGTGGAAAACAGATGGAACTAAAAGTACAGTGCCCTGGTGCCAGTTCTTAAAGTGTCATAAATATTCTATCTTTATCACTTATATAATGCAGAAAAACATTGTAGTTTATGGTGGAGATTCACAACTTTGAAATATATACATATTTCAGTGTAAAAAAGTCTCAAACATAGTTTGGTCATAAAAACTTTCCATACTGGAACTTATAAAGATAGGACACTTTTACAGGACAGTTGCAATTAACTTTCCCCATCCTTGGCTACAAAAGTGAGGGCCTTAATAATTACCCATTATTAGAGTAACTAAAAAAGTGCTGGTTATTTTTAGTGTTATGGGGGCAGAGGGAGGGAAAGGTGCACTAAAGGTCATGGTGGGGGAGGGGGATCCACAAACAGAGTAAACTGTGAAGGAGAGCCTGCAGGACACACAATAGACAGCAACAAAAGGTGGGCAGCAGAAGTTAGTGTGGTGACTGCCACTGTAGGGTGAGGGAGCCCTGCCATGGTTTCCCACAGCTAGTGGAAGTCAGAGGGCATGCCTAAATTCTGCATTAACATTGGTCATGCTACTCCATCCCTTGGAAATACTTAGGAAGGAAGAAGGATCAGATGTCCCTAGAGATTGGCAGGCACAATTACACATGAACCACTCAACCAAATAATACAGATACTTGAAAAGAACATTCAGGGGAGCAGAGAAAGGTTGATAGGGCTCTTGATCTCTTTCTTCCCTCCTGCTGCAGCTGACTGACCTTACTTCCCTCCCAAGTGCATGAAAAACACTCCCAGGAAGAAATGTGCAATGTAGTCAGTTATGCTTGCCCAGCACAACAGCCCCTACTGCCCCAGACACCCCATGTTGATCCCTCCCGCCTTAATATTCTTTTACCCCCAATAATAAATCAATCAATCAATCAGGACCACAGTAAAGAGAGTTATAAGGGTGGACATCAGAAAAACTGCATTAATTTTAATTCCTGAATTCAAATAGTGAACAATATTTATTATATCCCAGTAATTGAAGCCTGCTATGTAATATTTCATTTTATCTCAATTCCTAACTCCTATAATGCTGGTTGTTATTTAAACTCAGCTTTATGTCTCCTGCCCCACACCACAGACATACTTTAAAATTAAAAAAAAAGAAAGAAGCTGTAGCCTGAATTATGTAAAAGGCACTATTTAGCAGAACTGTGCCAAATTCACCAAAGGTCTACCTTGGCTGAGGTTCTTGAGGTTGATGGAATCTACACCAGGGTACCAACATGCCTTGATGCAAAGCAGCTATAATCTCCATCGGGGCTCCACTGAGAATTAAGGGTGCTCCCACTCTATAATCCTAAATTAACATTAAGTCTAAAAATGAGAGCATGGGGAGCCTTGGCTAACCATATGCCTCACATTTCAGGCAATGATGTACAATCATTTTATTTTGCTAGTCACTTCTTTTCCAGAAGAGAGACAAACATGAAATTCAAGTCACCCAAAGAAAGCAACAACCATAAAAAGTGCATCAGTACAGAGAAAAAAAAAATCCATAAATTCGCACTCATACATATACCTTCTAATGAAATGACCAATGGACATAAATAGATCATGTCAATTCAGCTATCTTTCTTGTCAATGACTTGAATTATTTCTATTATTTCACTGTTTCTTTTGAACTGCATAACATTTGGGAAATATGTTAACTTCTAATAAAATTTGTAGTAGTACAACAAAATGATTTTTAAAAAGTAAGCCTCACCAGGCAGCACTGTGCTTATAGTATATTTGCTACTTAAAGATATACATAAGGTTTTAATTTACTGTAGTTGTAGTAAAATAGGCAGAAGAGGACTTGGAATTCAAGACTAGAAGTTGGCTAAGAGAAAAATGTTGATGCTTCTCTTCTAGTAAGTTATAAATACATGGGAGAAAATAAATCTCTTCAAATCTTTTTAGTCTGATAGCTTGAGTGACTGAGGAGTGCAGAAGTGGCATCAGCAGAGGGCTTCTTCAAACCAGTACCATAACTAGTACAAGCACAGAGAATGGAGAATATTTATTAAAGTCAGAATTTACTTACTCCATTAGTAAGCTATTAATATAGTCGTTACCATCCATATGGCCAAATTGGAAGTTCCTACGGAAGATACAAAGAAACAAGAAGTAAAGCCAATCAATTGTACATTAAAGAAATGAAAATTATAGACTACATCAGTCAAAAATATTCTTCATAAAATATTTCTCTAATAAATATTGAAAAACTACGTAGGGAGCAGCAACTGCTACAGTCTTCACATTCATGTATTACTATAAAGATGTAAAAGTATGGAATGGCTGCCATATGAGGAGAGATTAATAAGACTGGGACTTTTCAGCTTGGAAAAAAGACAACTAAGGGAGGGGGATATGATAGAGGTCTATAAAATCATGACTGGTGTGACAAAAGTAAATAAGGAAGTGTTATGTACTCCTTCTCAAAACACAAGAACCTAGGGGTCACCAAATGAAATTAATAGGCAGCAGGTTTATAACAAACAAAAGGAAGCATTTTTTTCACACAACACACAGTCAACCTGTGGAACTCCTTGCCAGAGGATGTTGTGAAGGCCAAGACTGTAATAGGGTTCAAAAAAGAACTAGATAAATTCATGGAGGATAAGTCTATCAATGGCTATTAGCCAGGATGGGCAAGGATGGTGTCCCTAGCCTCTGTTTGCCAGACAGGGGATGGATCGTTTGACGATTACCTGTTCTGTTCATTCCCTCTGGGGCACCTGGCATTGGCCACTGTCGGAAGACAGGATACTGGGCTAGATGAACCTCTGGTCTGATCCAGTATGGTCGTTCTTATGACTAACTACCTAACTTACAAAACAGCCCACACACACATCACGATCCTCAGTCACTACTCTTTGTACCTTATTTTTTTGTCTGATACACTCACTACATGTTCACTTGGCTTAAAAAAAATTTAAGTCTGCCAATGGGAGAAAAGAACAGAATAGAAGTGAACAAGCACATTCTTTGTTTCTGGATTACATAGGCTATGGTTTCACATAGACACCCGTGGAACCATCATGGCAGCAGGAAGATCAGATATGGAGAAAAAGTGGTGCAATCAAACTTAGTAACTAAAAAATAATTTATTTATAAATAAATGCTTGCAAGGAGGTCTCTTTTTCCCTTAAGGCTTTCAAAAAAATCTCAAACTAAGTTTCAGTTGACTGACAACAAGAATCATACTTGATTTTGGCAAACTAATAGGTTAATTATGGTGAAAGTATTGCCAGGAAAACATTGCAGTTCATAACATTTATGTTGCATAGTTTGCACTCCTGAGATGAGAATGCAATGATTAACGATCCATTAAATCAGTATTTCTCAATTAGGGGGTGACAAAACGCAATTAGGGCAATTACAATCTAAAGCAAAGAAAATCTCGCTCCCCTACACCTCACACACCTTTACTCTTCAAGGTGAAGTATTCTGTCAACCTCTCAAAAGACAAATAAATTATACAGGCTTATCCCTGTTATAGTTAATACTTTTATTGTAAATGTAAGATAAAATTTTTGACTTCAATATAAGGGACTGCCAACCTCAAAAGGTGAGAAACACGACATTAAATGAAGGGCATATAGGGCAGGGAATAAAAGCTATGCTACCATAGTACCGTATACACATACCTGTGAAAATGGTCTCTGTAATCTTTAGCGACTTCTTGAATAACAGACTTTAGCCTATTAAAAAAAACAAACTGTTACAACTATAATAGAGTAAACTTTGCATTTACAAGGTTCAAATAAATAATCATTTCGCTCTTTGAATAAGGAGTGAATGTTATCTACACAGCAAAGGAAAAGAGTGACTCTCCTTTCTCACTAAGAAAATTCACCTTCCTCACAAACTGAATAAAGTACCTGTTAAAACGCTATCTTCATTGGACAAGACAAAATTAAATTATCTCTACTGCCACCAGCAAATGTACCATAACAACCTCCAAGAAAATCCCAATAAATGTTACAATTTAGCACAAAAAGAATGTAAGAATATAATCATTTTTAATAAATGAGTGACTCCTGAAAAAGTCATGGTTGCCTAAAGGGTGACGAGTCCTCAATTTCCTTAGCAAATTATTACCCAGCTGGATAAAAGGCATTCCTTCAAATGGATCACCAACACTTTATTTTGATGGTACAAATGACTAAACTTACTGATCTCTTTTTAAATATGTGACTATCAGTACAGAGTTGAAGATCAATCTTTAAAAACATTTTTAAAAATCAAAAACAACATCATAATTGAGTGACCTCTAGCTTTCTTTTCTAACTTTTAGATATTTAAAATTTAATTTAATACAATCTTAACATCTTATTTGCATGAAGATCACAGGATCCTGGACTCTGTACTGCCAAGATACTTCTTATAAAAGGCCCAATTTTCACCTGCAGTTGAACCTGCAAAATCCTATATTTGCATTTCAAATCTACATAAATGAATGCACAATTAACCTTTTTTAATTGCCTGTGCACAATTGGGGAGGATTATGGTATTTCCTGTAGCTCTTAATGAATCAAGTAGTCATATATGCCTCAGTGGGGCCACTCATTGAGTAAGATCTACAGAATCAGGTCTTCGGTTAGTCTAGCACTTTCAGAAAATGTGCAAATATCAGAGCAGTTCAACTCTCATTTTGTGAACATTTAAAACAGCTTCAAGAATTTGAATATTCCTTTCCAATATGAGATAAACTAGTAAAGATAAAGCTTGTTGACATTCTAATATCCAAACCAGCACAAATTCTTTACTTTTCACAGTGAGTGTCAATAATACTGTACCTGGTATGCTCAGCTGAAGAGTTTTTGTCATCAATAATCGCAATAGCCACAAGTTTTCCTAAAATACGGAATAAGATATCTAAATTCATCATATTGCTCTTGCAAGGGAATCTTCTTATTTTGTTTTATTATTATTACCACCTCACATTCTCCAACTCTCAGATCATAGAGCCATTCAGTTTTGAAAACAATTACCCAAATTTGGGGGTGTACAAAGATCCCTTCTCAACTGTCCCAAAGAAGCTATACAAACATCTGATTACATACATCAGTTTGTACTAATCTATTGAAAATAAATTAAATGTGTCTGAATGCCAGATTAACATGACTATGGGAAAAAATAAAGAGGGGAAATTAAGTTTGTTCCAGTGTGTCTGTTCACAACTCCACAAAGTTAGTATACATGGGTACTGCAATCACCAGAGCTCTGCCATTTTAAAAGTTCAAAACGTTATTTGTATCAATTCATTAACCACTGTTGTGACTTGATTTGTTTAATTAAAAACTTTGAGTATTATTCTTTACAACTTACATGAAGAAATGTTAGAATTTTATTTGAATTCTTGGCTGTGCCACCAGGTCAGAAAAATAGCTTCTTATATGGTTCGTAGTCCACTGTCAGAAGAACTTCACTTTCAAATGACCCTGCGCACAGATTTATTCAATAATCATGTAGAATGTAATGGAGACCAAATATCTGAATGTACCGGTCTTTGCTCGGATTAGTTCGTGTAAGTTTTGAAGCACCATTGGATTGTTTATATTTAGGTCAAATTATCTGCTATGTTGGGCAAACTCAGCAAATGGAATAAGAAATGCCTCAAATTTTGACTGAATTTTCTTCAAATCACTCCCCCCCCGTGTTAGGAAAGTAGAGTTTTCCCACAGTGGAATGAGCAGTGGATTGGCCACCTAAAATCTCAAGATCTAGGCAAACAACATAGTGCTGCTTATCAACCCCAGCCTCCAAAGGTCCAATACGTCCCTACTGATTGCTGCTGCTCCTGAACTGCACCCCAGGCAAGGAGATTCATGTAGAGGGAGAACCCACATAAGATGGATAATATTGACAATGGCAATATTCTCTTGTTCAGGGAATCCTTGAAGGGTTCTGAGAATGAGGAAAGAGATAATGCAACTTCCACAGCTCCTCCCCATTCCATTTCTCCATGGTGCAGTTGAAGAGGGATTTCTCTGAGGTTGGGAGAAGGACTAAAAATGTGATGGGGGTGGGGACTGTCTCCCATCACCTTCCATGCTCCCACCCCAAACCCGCTTGCCCTTGTTCCCTTTAGACCTTAACATATTAACATCTCAAAGCCTCTTTATTAGAGAACACTTCTCTCAAGTGCTTTTGAGGTTTCTAGAGAAGTGTGGATGAATTCACAAGTCTCATTGTGGGCAAGATATTCCTTCATAAAAATATTGGACACAACTTGTAGATACGTATTCTTTATTGCATTGACAAAGTCAACTAATGTCTTACACTATTTCCCAAAATAATCACTGTTATAACCAATAGCATTTGCTAATACTGATGATGGAACTGAAACTATACTTAAAAGATGTGCCGGCACTTTTATACATTTCTATTTATATACAGAAACTGCTATACACATTCATAATGATCTAAATTAGTGGACATTTTACCTTCTTGAATTTGAAAAAAGTCAGTGTTTTGGTGTATAAAGGAGATGCCTAAATTTTCAGAGGAAGATAGTGATTTTGGATGTTCAACTTGAGAGATCTTAAAAGGGGGTTGATTTTCACTTTCTGAAAATCAGGCTCCTTCAAGCCATCTTAAGTTTGGTAGCTACAGTTACCACTGAAAATGTACACTGTAGATGTTAAACTACACTCATGTATCTATTTTAAACACTAGCTGTAATCCTGCACCTCTCAGATGTATAGGATAACAGATTATTCTTCTCAACTGAAATTTCACAAACCAAATACATTTTTATTTGAAAAGAGTACCTCCATGAATACCCATTATTTTTTCTCCTATCTGACCCCCACACAATTCAACACAATTGAGCTAATCTAGGTTTGTAATGCTCCTTAAATATACATCACAAAACTCTCATACATACATTACATACATGTTCACAAGGCTCTTGAAGGGTAATCTACACAACACTAATGAAACAGTTTAGTCTAATCTCAACCTTGTAGTCTACTCAGTTTCGCTGAACAGTACAGAATTGGCAACACTGTACTGTGTGTATTTTGGAGCTAAAAATAAGCGCTTCATCCAAAGTCCATTGAAGACAAAGGAAAGACTTACACTTTATTCAATGGGTTTGGATTAGTTCCTAAATGCAGTTTTCCCTAAAATAAAGAGCAAATCCAGATTTCCTGCAGAGTTTAGTCAGGAATCGTGCATGCTTTCTATGATCTTTCCAGAAGGATGAAATTTGATTTAACTCAGCCCAAATGTGATTAGATATTACAGTATATGTACTGAGGTCCACATGAAATTTTTAGTATACTAAATCAACTGGGAAGTATGAGCCTTATGTAACTTCTTTTGGAGGCTTAAAAATCATTTTTTATTCCATTTTGTTTGTGGCTTCAGTAAATATTGTAAATAACTTGAAGGTGGGAGCATCTTACCTGTATCTCCAAGTTCATAGAGTGTAAACCCATCTACATTAAGATACCCTTGGAATCTCTCTCGGTTTATCCAAGATGATAGATCACCATCTTCATATTCTACAAAGTGAGAGAATTGAGAAAAACGGAGAATATTAACACCAACAATGCAGTAAGAAAATTGCTAAATGGTTAGGATGGACAGTAAGAGCAGAAATCTATGGCTGTATAAGGTAATACTCTACCTTCCACTTCTGGAGATATGGGTTAAAATCTTAAGTGGAAAAAAAAGTTTGGTGATTTCATACATTCCTCAAATGTTTAGAAAGGGCATGACTGACAGCATATTCTTCAGAAAAGCCCAGAGGGAGAGTAAAAGGAAAGCAACACAGTTCTAGCAAAAGGCAGACCACTGATTGTGTGTATTAAATTGTAAATATGGAATTTCTTTCACTCTAATGTTTTGAGTACTTTAGCTGCAAATAAAACTGGCAATTTTTGGTGACTTTTAAAGACTTTGTTTTCTCAAACCACAAAATCTATTTTTTATATATCCACAATACTGTTGATTTCAAAAGACAATTATGATGCAACAAGTTGGCAAAAAGGAATGGTTAACATCCTCTAAAATTTAGAAATGAAATTACAGAATAAAGCAGTAAGGACACAAAAGGAAACAAAGCTGTTAACCTAATATGGACTTAAAATACAATAAAATATGTCCTGTATGCCGGCAGATGCAACCACCACCACACATTGAGCTGATAGACAGATGTTTGGATACAATCACATAGAATGAGTCATATTGGGAAATTCTAATGTCAACTATTAAGAGGTTAATGCTTCCAGATATGACTAATCAAATATTTGTTATAGCGTGAAAGGTACAGCTAACTTGAAATTTTAAAAATAGCCCGTTCTTGAGTTAATGAAGCACCCTTCATTTCCTATACCAACTCTCAAAAGTTCTTTATGCTGAAACATGCTTCCCTCCTTTCTTGTTTGTTCAGATAACAAAACAGAACAATGGCATAACAGTATTATAACAAAAATGAATTTATTATGGAAAATGAATTTCTTTACTAGCAAATAGTTGCTCTTGAGACTTTGAATTTTTTTTTAAGCTTAAATAGTATTAATGTAAGGGTTTTAAACATTGAAACAGGTTTTAATTCATAAAACAATAGCAAGTAAACATTAGCCCTTCTAGGACTGTCATTTTCCAGAGGACCCAATAAATGAATAGCTATGAGGATATATGATACTTTTATGCCCACTATCTCACGCAAATGGGTTTAAAGCAGAAGTACAAATTCATTGAGGGGGTAGTGTGGTCTAGTGATCAGGATGCTAAACTAGGACTTAGGAGGTATGGGTTTATTCCTGGCCCAGACATTAAACCATTATGTGACCCTGGACAATTCACTTTACTACAGTAGAACCCCGTTTATCCAACCCTTCGTTATCCAGCTCTCTGTATTAACTAAAAACCAGCGTACACAGGTCCAGAAGCAGGCAATATCTCTGTTGGCTTTATTCCATTTATTCCATCTAGATAGAGCTGCTGCCTTGCACTTTTCCATTCTCCGGATTATCTGAATTTTTGATGATCTGATCTGGCCCTGGTCCCAGTTAGATTGGATAAATAGGTTTCTGCTGTACTTTGTGAGTGTTTCCCCTCTCATCCTTTATCACCTCTATTTAGATTATGAGCTCTTTGGGGCAAGGACTATTTCTTAATGTTTGTATAACACCTAGCACAATGGTACCCTGATCTCAGCTGAGGTCTATAGGTGTAAACGTAATACAAATAAATCATAATCATTAATTATTTAGGCACATTTATCAATCAATAAATCAGATTTAAATGAAGTGATAGTCCTATTGCACAACTTTCTGGCCTCTATATTAAAATTGCTTTTATTATATCAATGTATTTTCTTTAAGAAACATGAGACGACATGGCTTGAGTAAAATTTACTAAGATCGCCAACTGTGACAGAAGTTCCATGCAGATGGACCCTAGCACCTATGCAGAGACCCACTGATGTTTGGCACAAATATCTGCATGAAACTCCTTGAACAGTTGGGTTTAACTGTAGACATTAAGTAACTAGTACTTTTTAGCTTTGCTTTTATTTCTGTTCTTGTGATTCTAAAGTTTTTCTTTTGCTTTGTGGCAAAAGGCACACCAGAGCCTATTTTTAACTAAATGGGACAAGGAACAAAAATCATTTTATGAATAGGCCCCTACAACAAATGATATTTTATTTACACTAGATTAAGGTAAAATATAGCCTAATAGGGAGGGCATTTTAGGAGTATTTTGTTTGTTTTCCTATCTTATTATTCTATTAGGTAGGAGGACTCAAAGAATTGCATAAGGAATTGAAGAAAATCTAACCCCTGATACTTATTGTTTAGATTTTTTTTGAGAATACCTACTGGATAATGAAAAATGACACTTTAAAGCAGATACGAAATGCGTATGTTGCTAACCTATCTAGAATTCAATAATGAGAATGTATTGTAAAGTAATTAAAAGTAAACTTGTCACAAGACAGAAATCTATTTTTTAAAGAAGTTGATTTTGGATTTCTTTAACCATTCACACTTTCGTCTAAACATTCTTTTTATCGAAATCAGAAGTTGTTTTTGAAAATACTTCACTGCTATATTTCCACGTGGCCATTCATCTGGTCTACACCGTGTTCTGGTGCTTTATCAACACACATTGAAAAAAGGCATCTTAGTACTAAAATTATATGTTTCAACAATTTTTTATTTCTGTTCTGACAGCAGCAAATGATAAGATTAACCCAGTGCATTTTAAACTTGTAAAGTTTCGGTTTTGGTTTCCATTCTCAAGCAGGTTTCTGGGGAAATCCAACCTCCAAGTCTAAGACAAAACAAGCATACATAGACAGACTATTTCATTTGGGAGAAAGAACAAAGAGGCAAAGCATCGAGGCAAGCAAAAGATTTTCATTATCCTCATCAGAAATGTCTCATTTCAGTCTACTATTAATCTTATGGTAAGTGAATATTTAAATTTTTACTTTGCCAGTATGAGATAGTGAAAATTAAAAAAAAAAAAAAAAAAGAATACAATTTTATGTTTCTGATTAAAATGAAAAAAGATAAGTGTGCTCCTTTCTGTGTGTCAGTCTAGGTATCTAACTTTAAAAAAACTGTAGGTAATATTTTTCCATTTAAAATTTCAAAATTAAGTTGACAGTTGTCAAGACCATCTGCTAAAAACAATTAACACATTTTAAGCAACCAAGTAAGGAAAAATGTTTTCTGATTTTTGTTTGGTCGATTTAAATAAACCCGAGCGCTATTAGGAAAAATGTCAGGTTAAGTGGATGCACAAATGTCATACAATCCACTTGTTTTATTCATAATTTTATGATTTTTTAGGCTAACTTCTCAAATGCCTAACAGAAAAAGCATGGATATAACTATTAAATTCAAGCTGCAAAGTCAAATAATGGAAATACAGCTCAAGAGTGAAGATCAACAATTAATAAACACTTTGAAGAGGATTCACTTTAGTCTTCCTTGTGGTATCCAACAGAGGGAGACCACAGTCACTGATAGAAGACTGCTGTCATATATATTTTTAATCAACAGAGTGACTAGAGTGGATATATGGACATCTGCTCATTTAGTCAAAATAATTTTCCTGCAGATATCAGAGGCATTACGGTCTTCCACCACTGAAAACAAGTCTATGAAACAAACCATTATTAACCACCACACTAGGCCATGCACTTTTCAAAAAGTGATAAAATACACTGGCACAGTGGCAAGAAAAGCAGTGAAATAAAAACAGGGTACAGGAAACAGGGCAAGTATGCAAATTAAGTTTTAGGAGTTGGGACTTGAACTAGTTATCACATACCCTTTCCAAAATTTAGACAACCATAGTTAATACCATTGAGGATGGCAACAACTTTATCTAGAACAATCTGGAGGAAATGTTCATGGAAACTAGCAGTGGCAATGACTCTTGAATAAAAGCCTAAAGAATTCTGAATACAATCTGTGTGCAGACACCCTCAAATTATTTAATGTATATTATAAAACACTTTCCATTTCATAGCACTTCTGCTCCTTCCTATTGTTTTTATGTAAATAACTGACGTTATTTTGTAATGTGAAATTTCTAACCTTTTTCTAATGTTTACAAAAATAAATGTTTTTAAAAATATAGCTAAAAAGTGTAAATCTGTTCTCTTTCCTGTATATTTTTCTTAAATTTATTAAAGAAATATTACCATACTAGTTGTTTTGCAACACAAGTTGGTCTCACATATGAAAACTATTTACTTTTCACAACCCCGCACAATTGTAGAATATGTCATTAAGTCTAGTGGCTTGTCACAGAAAGTTATAGATGTCAGTCTGGCCATGGTGGGGGAGCAGGGGGACTAAGATATTTTACAGAAAGACATTCCAAGTCACTGTTTAACACCATTTACGTGTACAGAAAGACATTAATATTGATAAAAATAGAAATAATTTATTCTTCTAATTATAGGTTATTACAATCATTTGACTTTGCTGAATTTACAAAGATTCATATATGTGAAAATAATGGTTACTAGTAGAATATGATTGCTCACATGCTTTCTTTTGATTACTTAATTAAATGAAAATTTCAAGCTAATTAAGGAAAATCCTAAAACTCTTTCTGTGAACCAGTGACAGGCACCAAGTGTCGAATAGGATGACACTTCCTTAGCCATAAAACCATATTTATTACCTCCAAGCATGTTTATACAGAGTACATGATGCAGCTTGAAAACTCCTATTTTGCTTTAACATTCTAAAGTATTTTCTTAAATACATCTTTAAAAACATAGTAAATAAGTGTCAGTTATTTCAGCTAGTTCTTTGTATAGAATATTTGATAGGAGTCTTAAATTACAAACATATACAAATGGAAGGTGGTAAATCTAGAAACCATGTCATCTCAAAGAACAGAACACCTCCACCTTGTGCAAGACATCAATGTAGTACAGACATGATTGTTATCTCAAGAAAACAAACTTTGTAAGATGTTTACATTTTAGAGAGATACCTGATTGTGTAAAAGAACGTGGGGATGTTCTTTATTTAGGATATTCAAAAGATGAGAGATCCTTAGGATGTGTTTTCAGAGCTATAACCTACCCCCCTCACCCCCTTGCAAAGAAAAATCTTTAGTTTAAACCCACACGAAGAATTCTAGAAATATCCTTGTTGAAACTGATTTATTTAATAAACACTCTGAAGTCTTCATTCTTCAAAAGTTAAGGAAAACATTTATTGATTGGAAGTATTTTGCAGAATATATTGGTTCCTTCAACGGAGATTAAAGCCTTTGTTTTCCCTCAAATGATTCAGATGGCAAAAGCTTCATCTGAGATGTATATCTGTGAATATTTTGTATCTACAGTAGAATCTCAGATTTACGAACATGAGAGTTATGAACTGACCAGTCAACCATACACCTCATTTGGAGCCGGAGGTATGCAATCAGGCAGCAGAGCCGAAAAAGAAAAGAAAAAGAAAAAAGCAAATACTGTACAGTACAGTACTATGTTAAATGTAAACTACTAAAAAAAAATAAAGGGAAAGTTTAAAAAAAGATTTGACAAAATAAGGAAACCATTTATGTACTTGTTTCGTTTAAATTAAGATGTTAAAAATCAGCATTTTCTTCTGCATAGTAAAATTTCAAAGCTGTATTAAGTATTAAGTCAATGTTCAGTTGCAAACTTTTGAAAGAACAACCATAACGTTTGTTCTTAGTTATAAACATTTCAGAGTTATGAACAACCTCCATTCCTGAGGTTCTACTGCAAATGCAAGGGGAGAGCGGTGGGGGGGGGGGGCTGTGTGGGGCGGGGGGGCGTGACTCCCCCCCCCC